ACAAAAAAAAAAGAAAAAAAAAAAAAAAGAAAAAAGACGCTTTCCACGCGCTTTCTAAAGAGCACAATACTCGAGGAGCACAATCGTCGACGACAATGATTCGAAGGAACAATGACCGGTTTACGAAGGTGGAGTGGTGGTAATTAGTCGGTGGGGAGGGCGGTCGCTTTGATTGATCTGGTGGACGCTCAATTAATCGCGCCCGTGATTAATTATCGGCGATGGAATAAGCGGGCTAATTAGAGATGTGTTTTGCTCCCTCCGGCAAAAATCTATCTATCCTTCCTCGGTTACGGTTGCTCGAAGATGATAGGGTAACGATTACTGGAATATTATATCCCTCGATGGATTTTTTAGTTCGTATTTATTTAAAAAGAAAGGAAGAAAGAAAGAAAAGTGTATATAAATGTTTAGGAAGAAATATCGATGTAAAATCCATTTCTTTTTTTTATCATTCACGAAATGATAAATGAATTTCTTGGCAACAGGTTGAACGGAGAAATCGAACGTTAAATTAACTATTAATTACAAAGCGGATAAAATAAAAATTGTTGCACGAAAAATGTATATTTATGTATAACATTTTCACATTCGAAAATAAATTGATTGAGAACAACACTTTTCACATTCGATATTAAACGATTGAAAATTTGTGTATGATCTTTTGAATCTTTTGAATGCTTTCCTGAATCGATCATCTCCTTTTGTCTATCCATTGAATGGAAATTCGTCGAAAAGATTGATCGATCTACCTTAATAGCGATATTTTTTTTTTGTTTCTCTCGGTGATTTCTATGAACCTTTAAGTCTCGTATTCTCTTTTTTCTTATGTATCTTCCATATTTCTTACTCGAAGATATTTAATACATCGATTGGTATGAGAATATTTTTCTTCCAGTATCGAAAAGATATTTATCATGATAAAATGTTATATTAGTATTATTATATCGTGGAAAATTATCAAAATTATGCGGATCAGTTTTATTATACATCAATTGCTATAATAATAAAAAAATTTATAGCAATATAAATATACCATACACTGAAATTATAAACGTTCTTACTTACCTTTTTTCCATCTTAAATTGCGCCAAGCATTCGACGATCAGTCATTACGATCGAATTAAGAAAATTAATCGCGATTCACAGGTTAAAAAGTATCGAATTAAGTCGATAAACGAGAAAGAGAAATTACTTCTATAATTTTTTCACATCGAAATGGAAATGGAATTCGATAATTGAAGATCGAATCGAGGAGGTTATGAGAAAAATTATCGAATTCCGTGACAAAATATTCTGTTAGAAATGGAAATTCGTGTGCAATAATAATAAATCGGGAAGAAAGGGAAAATAATGGGCGAAGAAGAGAGTGTTTCCAGACGAGCGACGACCTTCCTTGGAAGACATTGCTTTGGTGGAAGGTGAACGCAGCCGTGCGACCTAGATTCTCGTGTGGCGACCACGGAGAAAGACCACGGTGAGGAGAAAGATGCTGAGCAGGAAAGAAACGAGATGACGATTATAAACGAACACACGATTTCCTCCTCGGCATCGACGCGAATCGAAAGTCCCCCCCTGTATGCGACAAACACTTTCTGCCTTTTACCTTTTACCAGTTATCCAGTTTCGCTGGAATTTCACCGCCATATCGTTCCTCTGAATTTTCGGAAAAAGAGGATCAAGTCCGAGTAATCATCGTGCGAAGAAGAAATAAAGAAAGCGTGTCCTTCTCGATGTAAAAGTGGAAAGAACTTATTTTTCTGTCAATGTTTTCGATCCGTTTCGCGATGAAATTTCTCCATCATTTGGAAAAACCGTCTCTTTTCGTCTGTTAATCACGATGATTGCACAAAGGAGAATAAATTGTATTCCTTTCATGGGAATTTATTTTGCGATGGAATTTTTTAATCTTTTTTAAAAATTTCGAAAAGAATTCCTCTTTTTATCGAGTAATCAGGATGCAAAAGAGAATAAGATGTATCCTTCTTGACGTAAAAATTAATTTTATATTAATATTTTCTTTACGCGTTTCGAATCCATTTTTCCATGGATCGTGAAATTTTTTAATCAAATCTCGTTTAAATTTTGAAAAGATCCTCTTTTTATAATAACGATGATTGTGCAAAGGAGAATAAACTGTTGTATATGTTTTACGTGTTTTGAATCCATCAACGGATCGTGGAATTTCCTCGTCATTCGTTTAAATTTCGAAAAGATCCTTTTTTTATCGAGTAATAACGATGATTGTGCAAAGAAGATTGAAATGTATCCTCCTTGACGTAAAAATGAATTTATTTTCTTTACGTGTTTCGAATCCATTTTTCGATGGATCGTGCAATTTCTTAATCATTTGTCTAAATTTCGAGGATATCCTCTTTATATCTAGTAATAACGATGATTGTGCAAAGGAGAATAAAATGTAAAATCTGTTTTACGTGTTTTGAATTCATTTTTTTTCAATTTCTTGCAATCGAGCAATAAGGATGATTGTGTGTCCTCTTTGACGTAAAAATAGCTGGAATTTATTTTCTTTAAGTGTTTCGGATCCGTTTTTTCAATGGATCGTGAAATTTCCCTATCATTTGTCTAAATTTCAGAAAGATTCTCTTTTCATCGAGCAATGACGATAATTGCGTATCCTTTTCAGCGTAAAAATGGCTGAATTTATTTTCTCTAAGCGTTTCAAGTTTTGCAATGTATTTGTTTAAATTTGGAAAAGATTGTCTTTTCATCGAGCAATGGTTGTA